TCTCCTTTTCTGCAACTGTTTGTAAACATTCAATTCTTGCTGGAATGTTTTATTTGTATGCATGCATTTTTATGTAGTTATATATGCATAACTATATATGTGATGCATGTATTTTGTTACATATTGTTTATAATGTATTTTGTAATAATTTATATTACTTAACTATGGTAAGTACAGTTATACATAAATGCATTCAGTTATATAACTTCTTACACAATTGTAGTTTTATATATATGAATGCTTACATTGATAAAAAACTAAATACATACATACAGATAGAAAGACTATGTAAAGTGACTGGAAAATAGAAAACGATCAATGTTTAAACTAAAATAGACATGCCAATCACTGTGCTAAGCAGTTTCCAGCACAATCTCATTTAATACTTACAATTACCCAGTAAGGTAGGAATTAGCATCACCATATCAGAAAAGAAAACTGAGACCTAAGAGAACAAGTAATGTGGATGAGATCACCAAGATACTAAATGATACAGCTCGCAACTCAGTTCTTTATCATAACATGATCCTCTTTCCCAGTACTTTTAGAAATTACTAAAATTTCTGTTGCTATTCTAGCTCTATGCCTGTGAAAGCATTTAAAAAATTTAATGTGACAGGATGGCTAAATCCATTAGGAAGATAATCAAGAGGCTGTCAATATCCTGGTTAAGAGCATCTGCCTTGGAGCCAGCAGACAGGATTTGTACCCTGGCCCTACCCAGACAAGCTACTTAACCCTCTATGCCTGCATTACCTAATCTTTGAAATGGAAACAATAATAAAACCAGCTTTGTGTAAATACTCAAAGGCTGGGGTGATTAAACAAATTCACATATGTAGTGATTAGATTAGTGCCTGGCTACAGGGCAAATGCTGTAAAAGTGTGAGCTACTCATATTTTTTTCTTTCAATGTTTAATTAATTTTACAATCTCCATTTTACTGGAAACACAATTTGCTAAGTTTTCTTCAAATTTTCTCTCATTTTTCAAATCATACCTTATTTTGCACACAAAACATCTACTTTTATAAGGACACCTGTTAATGCTTTTGTGTTTGTTTTTAGCCTAGCATCTTTTCCCTGCAGGAACTTCCTTCTTCTGGAGGTTGTCATCATCATCCATACGGCCAATCAGAGCCAGGCTCTTGGGGTGGCTGCATGATTGATTGTTCCCTGAGTATCAAGAGAGTTAACCATAGCCAATCAGTGCCCTTTCTAGAGACTACAGCTATAGAGAAATGATTCCTCTTTTATTCTGAATCATAGACAATAAAGAGCAGCACATAAGCTTAGAGCTGCTAGGGTACCATTGCTTTAAGAAGTCATCATAAAGTAAAGCAGAGCTGAGAGACTGAAACATTAACACTTGAACTTTAAGATCCAGCTGAATCAAAAGTTTACTTTTTGGACTTCACAGTTGTGTGAGCCAATAAAGTATCTTATTTGCCTGAGTTAGGGATAGGTTTATGTTATTTAAACACTAGAGTCCTGTTAATCCATTGATAAAGTATTAGCAGCATATCTTCAGAATGCCAGTACTCAGCTTATTAAATCATCTTAGCAGGAATAATTAATGAGTATGATATTTCTATAGGTTCCTAAATATCAAGCCATAAAAATTAAGTACCCTTTTGGTATACAACAATATATAGTTGTATAGAATGGAGACAAATGACAAATGATTTCCAGTCTAAATCCTTGATTTCGAGGTCTTGAAACCTTTCTTTATTCTCTCTAATGCAGAGACTAAAGCAAATCACTTATCAGAGGATTGTTGTGCGAATCAAGCAGCACAATGCTACACAACCACCCCAATGTAGAGATATTATATTGTATCAAGTCAACATCTACACTAACAGAAAAAACACATAGTAAAGGAATCTATAATTCTGACACATGTATGCATATTATTAAGATCTTACCTTATAACAACACTTTCTTTTGCTTTTTCATGCCAGGAAAAAATACAACTAGCAATATGTCCAAAGAACACCAAGGAAACCTTCACATTGTTTCTAAAATGATACCATCAATCTTTGGTTACCAGCCAGGCAAGTGCTTAGTGTTCTGCTGTCCTCCTCCTGATGCAAATTCTTGGCTCACCCCCCACCTGCCTTTATAGATGCCTTTCATAACCTTTACCTCAGTCAGTTTTTGTTAGAACCTCATTATGTAGGCAGGAATCATTTCCCATTTTGCAGATGAGGAAATGAAGCCCAAAGAAGGTAAGGGATGACTACTCACAATGGCAGATAGGACTCTCTGTCTCAAACTACTTGACTGTTGACCATTCATCTTTGTCAGAATCATGGAGGTACTTGGAGTTTTATTTCCTCGGATCTGAATTCTCAGTGTTTCTGGTGTGGTTTAAAGTATCCTGAGACTAAAAATTGATCTAATATCAGTTGTGACCACCCTGTGACAGATACTATTAATAGTTTTGTTGGTTTATCAGGTCCTACAAGCTTAAAATTAAAATTATTTGGTCTCAACTCCATTATAACTTCTAATGATGGAATTATTTGTTTTCAATAAGATAATGGAATAGAACCTGAGCCAGCAACTACTTTTATGACACCTTAACTGATATTATGATGCAATTTAACTAACTTTTCTCTATATTCAAGCATGAGTTCTGTTCATACATCAGCAGCTAAATAACTTTTTTTTCTTTTTGCCATTCAGAGCTTTAGTTCACATAACAGTATAATGCCTGTGCCTCCAAGGAAAGAGTGAGCCATAAGGAGGTACTGAGTCATTTGGAAAAGTGAGGGTTCTATCTCCCATCTGAGTTGATCTCCATATCACTTTATTTGAATGGTAGGAAATTTTTAGTGCTTAGACCTTTCTACAGCCAAGTAAAATCCTAGTCAAATATAAATGCCTTTTGAATTATCCTACATAATTCCCTGTTGCTAAAATGCTATGTCTCTTTCTTTTCTTTCTTCAGTGACTGGCCTAAATTCTGTCTCCTCTGAAAGTAGAGTTCTAACTAGTTAAGTACATGGTGATTCTCTTTCCTCTGAACTTAGAGGCCCTGATTTTCCACCTAGTAACAATTCAAGGAAATAAATTATCATATTATCCAATGTCACATAACTCATCTCCCCAACTAACATTCAAGTTCTTTGAAGCACGTCTGATATTCTGTCCTCTACTTTTGTATTACCTACCAAGTACGTATATTGTGATTTCCCAAAAACTGTTTCCTAAGCCTTTGATATCTAGTCCTCCAGAGTCTATTATTAGTGATAATTAAAAGTTCATAATTTATAAACATTTATTTCTGGCCTGAATATGTTTTGTCTTAATAGGCTATATAGCTGCTTAGTAAGTCAAATTTTCACAAAAGCAGAGAAAGGGACATCATTTGTTCCACTACTCCAAGAAAAAAAAGTTTAAAAACATAAAGATTATTTCCCAACATCCAATTTCTGTACAACAGGAAAGTGTCTGATTGGCTTCAGTGATACTGCAGATTTGCATTCTGATAACAGGATCAAGTTATTTTACTGGATTTCTGGATTAGCAGTATCAAGCATAATGGTTAGCTCTACTTAGATGTAATGTTTCCTATCAAGGGTACTGGTCACAAGGTTATTTGATAATTCGCTCTACTCTGTCTCCTGGAAAAGAAACATAATTACACTTTACTTTTCATCTTTGTTGAATTATGACAAATATTTAATTATTCCTTTGGCACACATGATAGTTCTTTTGTGGGCCACAGGTTCCTTTAAGATATATCCATCTACCTATGATTTGCAACTAATTAGAGGATGTTAAAGGTTATTGCTAATGGTAACTTAAAACTCTGATAATGGATAGCTCTTGGCATTTAATACCATTAGCAGTCTAAGAACTTAATTTATCCTAGGCAGTTCATATACTCTTTTCCCATTTCTATACCGACATATGCAGTAACAGGCATCACATAAGTGAGGTTTACAAATGTACTAGCCTTTCCACATGGTGAATATTCAAACAAACAGAATGAACCTAGAACTAGATATTGCCTGTAAACTAGAAAAGAAGTAGGGCTAGTGGTGAAAGGATGTATGTTCAGACAACCTGGGTATGAATTGTGCCCCTGCTATATACTAGCTTTGTAGTTTGAGCAGTGGTGTCATTGCTTTTGCTCAGTTTTTTCACTTGAAATATAGCCATAATAGTAACATCTATCTTATGAAATTTTTTATGAGAATTAAATACACTCCAATGAATGTTAACTGAGGAACTCCTTTCCAAAGTACTGAATAAGTCACTTTCTCTGCCCTGTAAGCCCCTGTAACTTCTTTTAAAACAATTGTGTTTTATTTAAGAGGAATGAAATACTTAGTAAGAATATGGCTCTAAACAATGCAACATTACCAAGGTAATTTATTCTAAAGAAACTATCAGAGATAAATATAGGAATAATACATCAGGATGTTATAATATTGAACACAGAGAAATAACCTAAAAATTCCAGGGGAATGGCCATGTAAAATATATACATATTTTAATGCTAAAAACAACATCAGTAGACAAAGAACTTAGTAAACTAATACATGTAATATGATCATTCAAATATCAATTATCAATGTCATAACATTCCTGTCTTGATAATAATTTAAAAGTTTTTAACAAAGAACTAGGCACATGTAAGTAAGCCTTTACAATAATTCATCATTACCATTATATTAAGTTATAAATATTTATAAGTTCTAAGGAAATGTACCAAAATACATTCTATCTGGTTGTTCACTTACTTCTATATATAAAGAAATATATATATATATATATATGAATATATGGATATATATATATATATATATCCCTAATTTCTGTTATGTATATGTGTCCTACCCCAATTAATTTGTGTCTTTGTGTCTCCACTCTGGCAGACACTGTACAATGAGCATTTATCAAGTAATAACTTACAATTAAATTCATTTAAATTAATAACATAAACACATAAGGATTAGATCATTATCATTTTTGAATGGAAGGTATTACCTTCATGAGAGATTTCCTTCCAGGGATTTGGTGGATACATGAAAGCTGCATTCTGAATTTGGTCATGTATGTCTTCATCTTCATTAAATGGGAATGTGCCACTTAGGCTTACATAGATGATGACTCCAACAGACCACATATCTAGAGACCGATTGTAGCCTTTGTTCCTTAAGACCTCAGGTGCCAGGTAAGCTGGGGTACCCACCACTGACCTCCGGAAAGACTTCTCTCCAATGATCCGGGCAAAACCAAAATCACAAAGTTTCACCTGTTGATAAAAGGGTTCGCAGAAATACTCAGTTCACAATTTTGTGTTTGTATGTCTTGGTTCAGATTCACCAGATACAACCATAATACTTAAAATACTTTCCCTTTACAGTAAATGATATGGATTTCTTAAAGTAATAGGTAGTTTCCATTTTAGGTATTTGAAGACGGTGGCTTATGCAGTGATACAAAAGTATGTTTTCATTCATAAAAATATCACCTTAACAGTCTCCTTTGGCAGGGTGCAGTGGTTCATGCCTGTAATCCCAGGACTTTGGGAGGCTGAGGTAGGAGGATTGCTTGAGGACAGGAGTTCAAGACCAGCCGAGGCAACATAATGAGATCCCCATCTCTACAAAAAAATTAAAAAATAGCCTGGCATGGTGGTGTGCACCTGTAGTCCCAGCTATTCAGGAGGCTGCGGTGGGAGGATTGATTGAGCCTGGGAGACAGGTTACAGTGAGCTGAGACTGCGCCACTGCACTCCAGCCTGGGGTGACAGAGTGAGACCCTGTCTCAAAAAATAAAAATAAAAGAATGAAAACAATTAACAGTCTCCCTTCTCCAAAAACCGAGATACAAATATGAAGGTAAGTGTACTCAGAAGTGGATAGTGCTGTTTACAAGGCAGGAAAACATGCAAATCAGGAAAGTGATGACCACTCAAGGGCTCATTATGAGTAGAGGGTGAAGGATAAGTACAGAGATGTGTCATGTCATCCACAATAATCCTCAAAATTAGCTCTGCACTGGCACATATGTAGGCAGGACCAGAAGGTGTTAGGGAAGCAAGGCAGGACAGCCACCTCAGTCAGGCCATTTTAGATCTAGGATTCCCTGTGGAGATATTTGGTTTCCCACTCTCTAAGTTGAGGAAAGAAAAAAAGTTTTGCCCTTGTCCTTGAAAACAACAATGAGGTTTAATATCTTGCCCATTAGTGAGCTGGTAACATCTCTGGGACTCAAGTGTTGTCACTCTCAGGCTACTTCTGGAAAAGCCAAAAGGCAGAATGAGAAAGTACATTTGCGTATAATTAAGGTAGGCTTCACCAAAAAGCCCAACTAAGTTCCAAAGATACAAGGAGGTAACAAATGGATGAAAATGAATACAAAACACTTGAAACAAGTAAAGGTTTTAAGGGAAAAATAGAACGTGACAAGATGCTACATGGAAGCTAGCAATGCTGTCAACTGGTTTTTGCTGAGAAGCTTTTATACTTGCCTGAGGAAAAGGATCAGCTGATGCTAGCAACACATTTTCTGGTTTGAGGTCACAGTGAACAATATTTTTAAAATGAAGGTGCCGCAAAGCCACGAGTATCTATGAAGAAGAAAAATAGCCAAAATAATTTTATTCCAGTGTATGAATTTCAAAATGTCTTCTACCACTTAAGAGGCCAAGAAAAAAAACTGAAAATGAACATTCAAACTTCTTTATATTCAAGACCACTGAAATGAGCTGGATTAACATAGGTTTCTAAAGAAATTTCAATGAAAAAATTACATATGATGGTATTCATACAGTAGCCAAGACAGATATAGATAAAGGACCTATGAAATCTAACAGGGATACCCATTCTTAAATATTCTCAAAGATCCAAGACTAAGCCAATATACATTTTAAACTTTCGTGAAAAGTTTGAATACATGGACCTGCAAACATGTTACTAATTTGGTACACTGATTAATATAGATACAAATGGACTCTGATTAATATAGATATAAATCACATAACACAATAAAGCCACTATAACCTTTTCTAGTGTAGTTTAGACTGGAAGTAGGGACTAAACAACAAGGCCTAGAAAGCTGTAAACAGTGATAACATTTGATATTAAATATTATATTTTTTTCTGTCTCTAATTGATTTCTTACCTGAGTAATTAAAAACTTCGTTATATGCTCTGGCAACCTGCCCTTTTCACTTGACAAGATCATCTCCAGCATGTCTCCATGGAGTTTTTCCATAACAACAAACACTCTTTCAGGCGTCTCAAACATACACTCCAAATTTACAACACCAGGGTGATGAAGGTTCTATTAAAGATAAATAAAGCACTTGAAGAAAATGAGTTTTTTGATACTGTTTGGCAAGCTTGCTGATTATACAAAACTGTTCAAACTTAAAGCTATAGAGAAACCCACACTTAAGATTTTTAACACCTCTACATTCCACATGTGCTGCCTTATATTTTTGAAATTCTTACATCTCCAGAAAATACATCTTTACTTTCCATGCATAGCGAAATTATTTCTATGTGAAAAATCCAAGTTCTAGCACAGTGAATTGCTAATTAGGTTTTAATTAGAATACCATATTGAGAAATCTATAATTTCTTAGGATCATCCCCAATATTAAACATATTGTCCTAACTAAGCACACTAGGCTATTTCTATACAACTGGTAGAAATCTAATGTAGTAAAGATGAAATTTATACAAGTAGCACATTGGGCTGTGCACTGATGAAGTACCTTAGTCAAAACCTTCTATAAATGCTCCGCTACTGGAGGCTGCAGTAGTTTTTGACTGAAGCTCTTATACTAAGTGAAGACCATAAAAACGGCAAAAAAATATATACAGAGAGAGCCTTTGCTTTGTCCAGTATACCATCCTAACTGCTTGATTTCCAAGCACTCAATAAATATAGTTAATCCTTGAGAAACACAAATTTGAACTGCCTGGGTCCACTTACATGTGGATATTTTTCAATAAGTAGAGTTGGCCTTTGGTATCTGTGGGTTCTGCATCCACAACCAAATGAGGATTGAAAATACAGTGTTCATGGGATACAAAAACCTGAGGATGTGGAAGACCAACTTTTCCTCCAGGTGGATTCTGCAGAATGAAATGTGGGATGTAGGTATGCATGGATTTTGATATCTGGGGTGGGGGTTCTAGAACAAACCCCACACAGATACCAAGGGACTACCATATTTCCACAATCAAGTAATGACTAGTCGTGGTAAGCAGCGTTGCTCTTGACAAATTAATTGCCACATGTGTCAAGGAATATTATGCTTAGCATTAGATGGTCTCTTGTGATAATGCTTAAATCTGAATTATTCTTCTGGGTCATCAACAAATGCCTTTGATCATTTGACCTTTATCTTTTTTCTCTACACAACAACAAATCTGAACATCACAAAAATAATTATATTCCACTTATATTCCAATGAGCAAGAAAAGAAAAAATCATCATGAACAAAACCTACCTAAACAAAAAAAGCAGGAACTAACTTAAATGTGCTAACAGCTGAAGAGAGAAAAAAATTAAATGCTTCTTTATTTTAGAAAAAAAATCTCAGTGAGCATAAAATTGTATGTAAAATGAAATTTAAAACCTGAAATGGCTCACTGTTCAGAAACCTCACAGATGGATGCTGGGTGGTGAGCAGCAGAAGGCCTTGTGGGTGAGTCTACATTATTGTAGTTGTCCTCTCGCTACCCATTTGCAAGGAAAGCCTGGCATCAACGGTATAGAGCCAGGCTATGGCTAGCAGGAGCTCCGATGATGATAACTTGTTTCTTAGAGGATCCTTTTCCTACTTTGCCCATTTTGATCTGTCTCAGACATCTGATGGGTCTCTTTGATTCTGATGCCTTGGGGTCAGATCATACAGCATAATTGGGTCATGGAATTGCAAGTTTATTATGAATGTGATCTGAGCAGATGCCTGCAAATCTACGCAATAGCCTTTTACCGCCAAAGGGCTAGTCATTGTTCTTCAAACCGTTGTACTGTTAACTGGTCAAATCTGACTACCTCGGATAGACCTCACCTCCCAAGTTGCTCTCTCCTGGTCAGAGCTGAAGCACATGGAGAGAGGGTGGGGTTCACAAAGCTTATATTATCAGCTCTCTTACTTCATTTTTCCTGACTACTTGCAAATAAGACCAGATAGCCAGATGGCTTTGACCACCATGGGAGGGCCAGATTCTAAGGAGGAGACTCCTATGACTATACACACTTGTTTGGTGGGCACCACAGAATATGTGATAGCACTGTTCATAACTGAACTTGTGACACGGGCTGTCTCATTTCCTTTTCCTTATACGCCTTCCCCTGTTAGAGAAGCCAGGATGACTGCACAGACCACTGGCCTCTGAATTGCCAAAGGTCTCAGCTGTACTCTTCATCAATAATCATAGCATGAGCTTTAAGGATTACATGAGAGAGTTTTCCTAGAGTTATGATTCTCCTAGGACAAGTCCACTACAAGATGTGGGAAGTACACTTTCCTCTTTGAGTATCTTCTTCATTGATTCTTTTATTTTTCTATTTAATATAACTTTAAGTGTTCTGGGGAGTCTGACTTCCTTAAATGGTTAAGCCTTGCAGTATGGGTGAGAAGCAGAGGCAACGAATAGGAAAGGAGCTGACCAACAGAAGTAGACAGCAAGGGTAAGTATCCTGTGTGTAGGCAAAGGAAAAACTAGTATGAAGAACAGAAAAAGGTTAAGGGAGAGTGACCTTGGGGGCCCAGGGAGGTCAGGGAGACCAGGAGTGGTGCTGGAGCTGCACGGTCTGCTGCTTCTGCTGCTCTGAGGCTCTGAAAGTCGGAAAAGAGGGGAGAGTCACAGTGACTGGGGAGCCTTCCTAGCTAAATTATCTGAGTGATGTGAATCATGTGCTTCTATCTGTATACCTCTAAGTACATGAGTTTTACTTTTTTTTTTTTTTTTTTTGAGATGAAGTTTCACTCTTGTTGCCCAGGCTGGAGTGCAATGGCACTGTCTCAGCTCACTGCAACCTCCGCCTAAAAAGTTCAAGCAATTTTCCTGCTTCAGCCTCCCGAGTAGCTGGGATTTCAGGCATGTGCTACTATGCCCAGCTAATTTTGTATTTTTAGTAGAGATGGTGTTTCTCCATGTTGGCCAGGTTGGTCTCAAACTCCCAATCCCAGGTGATCCACCCGCCTTGGCCTCCCAAAGTGCTGGGATATAGGCGTGAGCCACTGTGCCCAGCTAGTACATGAGTTCTTAGATGACTAAAGTCCTTCACTTAATTTATTCCTTTTTCTTACTTCACAACATGACGTGAGGTGCCCCTGTCCAGAGGGTAGAACTTTAATACATGTTTACTTCCAGAATTGCAGTATTCGCAGAATCTTCTAGGTCAAAAATAAGGGACAGATAATTAAGAGTGTTCATTGTCAACTATTTTGTGCCTTGTTCACTGTCAGCTCTGAAGGGATCTATAAATGTCCTCTAATAGCATCTTGATGAAAAGGATAAGGGAACATTTTACTATTTCCCAATAAAGGTCTTTGAATGTGGTTAGATATATAGATTTTAAAAAATACATATTCAATGAAAACATCAGACTCAAGGCCAAGTATATACAAGTGATAAAAAGAAGTCTTAGAAACGTTTAAACTTGTACCTTCATTTCACTTGGCCCTTGCTCTTTTATGAGCAAATTTATACTTTACAGTTTTCCCAAAGTACATATTGAATGACAGCGAAAAAAAAAATCTTCCCAGTAGCAAAGTGATTTTGCTTTATCTGAACAGTTGATATAAAATAAGTATATTTTAACATTTATTTATATATGGTTGAGACAAGGCCATCATAGATACTTACTTATGATCTGTATTTTTTTTTGCATTGAAAAAAATGACTAAACTTGTTTTTATATCTGATAATAACAAAAGAAAATAAAACAGAATATATAGATCATGTCTTATTTAGTTAAACTTCTTATACTGTACAGATAAGAATATGTCATTAGCCTAGAGAATATATTTGAAGACTAGAAATAAGAAAAAAGTTCTAGCTATTATTTCTCTATTTTCATGTGTAATTATTCTATTATTTTTAATACCTTAAGTATGACTTTAAGATAAATTCAATCACAGTGGTCCATGTGACTTTTCATAAAGTTTTAATTTTTCATATAAATATGAAATAGCCTTTAACTATTTCCTCCTAATCTCAAAAGTAACATAATTATTAATTATTTTAAAATGGCAAGAAGACTGAAACATCAACTATGGCATAGTGTTCAAAAAGAGTTTTGTCCAACTTCTCAGGCTTTCCACAGAAATGCAGATAAATTTCATGGCAGAACAAGCTACTACAGGACTCTCTGGCCATCTGTTTGTTGCATTTAAGTAATTTAATTTTCAGGAAATGAAACATTTGGCCAAGTACAGGAAAAAATAGTGTCCATTCACACATAACAGATTGATGACATATCCACGGGGTGAATATAAGTTGTTTCAAAGCCTGGGAGGAAATATCATTTGTAGATCAAGACAAAAACTCTCTTGACCCAAGGTGCCTAGAAAGTGTATATAATCAATAAAAATTAGTCACTAGAAGCAAATGCTTTTATAAATGTAATATCTCAAGAAAATAAAAAACTAATTCCAATTTTTTGTTTATACATACATTCTCATTTACATTTTTTGATTTGTGTTAAAGGATATTCTTTAATATTGATATCTAAGTACTAATATTCTTTAAATCTAACATTGTTGCTTTATTGTAAATCTAGAGTTTATAATTCATTACATATATGCAGTTTCCACCTTCTACCTTTAGGATTATTCTACTCAAACATATGAGAGATAGGAAAGAGAAGAATTAGATTCATTCAACCTATGTTTTAAACAGGTCTTTAGTAGCAATTCAGCTTTAATATGGGGATCCCTGACTAATTTTTTCTTTTCTTTCCTTGAGACGGAGTCTTGCTCTGTCACCCAGGCTGGAGTTCAATGGTGTGGGCGTGGCTCACTGCAACCTCTGCCTCCTGGGTTCAAGTGATCCTCCTGCCTCAGCCTCTCCAGTAGCTGAAATTACAGGCTCCAGCCACCATGCCTGGCTAATTTTTGTATTTTTAGTAGAGATAGGGTTTCGTCATGTTGGCCAGGATGGTCTCAAACTCCTGATCACATGATCTGCCCACCTTGGCCTCCCAAAGTGCTGGGAATACAGGTATGAGCCACTGTGCTTGGCCTAATTTCTGTCAGAGAACAAACTGATTTAGTTCATAATGAGATAGATAAACTAAATATAAAAGTGATGAGCCTAGGATCTAAATTCTAAATGGCATACAAACCAGAAGGAAGAATATTCCATTATACAATACTACAGGTGGGAGCATGAGGTACAGTACTATAGCAGTGGCCTTGTTAACTTCCATTCCTGCCAGTTTGCCAGGGTCAAGAGAAGAGCACACCTTCTTATCCACTTTCTAATTACAGTCTCTTACAATTTATGCTTCATGTCATGGTCTTAGAAACCACAATCCTCTAATGCCTTCTTAAAGGGAAATAGACTATACTTACCTAATAGACACTAAAAAGTCATTTGGCAGAGAACAGACAATTATAAAGGTACTTGTTAAAGATAATACCCAAATTGATAAGGTAAGCTCTCCTAAATTCTACAATCTTATATTCAGTTGTCTTTTGGGTATATTCATTTAAATGAAAGAGGTCCAACAATGAAATCAGTGTCTTTCCACCCAAACTTATTCTTCTGTTTCTTCACTTGGTGAATGGTGAATCACCTAGGTTAGAAACCTTGAGCTCATCCTAAATGCTAACTTATCTTTCATTTCCAACAACCCACCAGTCTCTAAAACTAATAGAGTCCAGCTCCTTCATCTCTCACCTTCCTTCTCACCATTACTGCCTTGGTTTGAGCCCTCATCTCTTTCCTAGGGATATGCCACAGCATCCCAACTGATCTTGCCTTAGGTCTTGTTCTCCAATACATTCTTCAAAAGGCTGCCACTGTGGTCTTCCCAAAGGTGATTCTGATGCTACCATCTTGCTTCAAGCTGACAAGTGAAACACCACTAACTTCTGGATAAGGTGCCTACCCTTAGTAAGGCACATGAAACCCTTCAAAATCAGTTCCCTTTTCTCATTCTGCTTAAGTATTTCTCCAGCTTTTTCTTTTCTTCACCCAAATAGCCACTTTTTATTGCCACCCTAAAGCCATTTTTATAACAAGCCACACTCTCCTTTCTGTGCTTTCATACATACTACCCTTCAGTCTGAACACAAACATTTGCTTACTGTGAATATTTAGCTGTCAGGTAGCTTTCATTGACTCTCCCAGTCTGTCTTGGATGTCTCTCTACTCTAAGAGTCTTTGGTGTAAATCCCCTTCGTAACACTTATCCTATCATATTTAGTTATTGGTGGACCTATTTGTTTTACTTACAAGACTACAAACTCTATAAGGGCTATAATTTATCATTTGGTATTCTCAGTCAATATGAGTCTAGTGCCTGGTACATACTAAATATTCAACACAAGTTTGTTAAATTTGATTGAAAGATGAAGAGTCACTATTTCTCCTTACCTTTCATTACGTAATACTATTCTTTAAGATATCCATGGCTTTTAGATATGCTATTACATGTTTGACATATTTAGTGACAGTACATTTTGCATCAAATATTATACACAGTAATAGCCTCTCAGGAAAAAAATATAGTACATGACTTTTTAATTGAGTTCTCTTAAATTTGTTAGTAGGAAATTTCAGGATTCTCATGACAAATATGATCATTAGTAATGACTTTTTTTTTTGAGACAGATTCTGACTCTGTTGCACAGGCTAGAGTGCACCGGTACAATCTCAGCTCACTGCAGCCTCCTCATCCTGGGTTCAAGCTATTCTCCTGCCTCAGCCTCCTGAGTAGCTGCAATCATAGGTGCTCACCACGTGCCTGGCTTTTTGGTGGAGACGGGGTTTCACCATGTTGACCAGGCTGTTCACCAACTCCTGACCTCAAGTGATCTGCTGGCCTCAGCCTCCCAAAGTGCTGGGATTACAGGCATGAGCCACTGCACCTGGCCAGTAATGACTTTTATGATAAATACTAGTAATATGGATGCGACTCTCAGATATGCCACTGCTGATGAGTTACAATGATTTCCCTAGGCTCAAGGATATGACAAAGAGAGTCTCTTCTACTTTCCAGGTACAACCCCTCAAAATCTACCAGTTTTGATCAGCATTTTTGTAAAGATTTCAACATCTTTGATAAGAAGAAACATGATTTTCCTATCCAGGAGACTGGTATTTATTTTATACCTAGCTCTTAATCAGGAGAAACTCTAGATTCAGATCATTCTCAAAAGCCACTAGGAAACAGTTACCAGCAAGAGGTAAGCAAAGTAGCAGCAGTCAGGATAATCCCTTCCCTCCATGCCAACCCTCCTTTACATTGTGAAAACCTTACTATGATTCCATCCTGGTCCTAAGGATGAGAATAAAGAATTGAAAATGGGCTATTCAAATGATAATGATCACCATACCTCTTTTTTCCTCTTACTTAGAAAAGTCTTTCGACTCCTCTTATTTTTTTAGTTAACCCAGAACATGTATGACTACAAGGAAAGCCTGGAAACCTGGAGCTTAATTTCAGGAGCAAGTTATCTGAAGACAGACCAGACGGCTTGATTTTGAATTTCAGCTCTGCTTCTTCCCATCTCCTGCCTTCCGGTGAGTTATTTAAACTCTCTGAGGTGCTTCCAATTCTTTCGTAAAATGGGATGATAATAATGTGTCAACTCAAAACACAATCAGGTCTTATTATTTAACGTAACAAAATACTTGAATTATGCCTGGCACATAGTAAGGGTTAGTTAATACTACTGGGTAAATCTTATGGCATTTAAAAATGATTTGGGTCAAATGTCCTTCTTTAGTTTGATAACTGAAAGTTACAGTCGGCTACAGAGAAGAAAACCTCCTTCAAACTTTCACCCAACGGAGGCTCTATCAGATTAAGTATGAACTGCCTCAGACCTAAACCTTTTAGTTAGTCAATCCCCATCTTTCCCCTTACTGTTTGTGTGTTTTTTTAAGCAACAAATTTATTATCCCACAGTTCTGTAGGTCAGAAGTCTGGTGAGCTCAGCTGTTTTCTCTGGTCTGGGTTTCACAGACAGAAATCAAGTTGTTGGCAAACTGCTCTCTTACTGGAGGCTCTGAGGGAGAAACGCTTCCAAGCTCATTCAGGTTGTTGACAGAATCCAGTTATTTGGGCTGCAGGGGTGAGGTCCTGTTTCCTTGCTGGCTGTGAGCTAAGTGTCTCTCTAAGCTCCCTGAAGCTGCCTGAATTCCTCATGATGTTGCTCCCCACATCTAACCAGCTGCTGTGTGTTGAGTCCTTGTCACACTTCAAATCTTTGTGACTACTTCCGCTGCATCTCTTTGGCCTCCAGCTGGAGAAGGTGCTCTGCTTTTAGGGGCTCATGTGACTAGATTGAGCACACCTGAATAACCTAAACGACTCTTCCTATTTTAAGGTCTGAAACCTTAATTATACCTGTAGAGTTCCTTTTGCCACCTAAGGTAACATATTTATTGGTGCCAGATATTAGAGTGCAGACATCTTTTTGGCAGGGAGCGGGTGTGCTGGGGGGCATTCCACTAACCACACCATACAAAGCCTCCACTATTTGGTCTGCCTAACACCCTTCTCAATTCTAGAGCAGAAATATGAAGTCTTTGTCCTTTGGAACTGAGGGAAAGAGTTCACAAGCAACTGTAATAAAATATATTTATTAGTTATATTATTTATTTATAAATGAACATATTCAAATATACTCAGAAGCAAAGCGAACACTATAAAGACATCCATGTATCTGTCAATCTGGATGCAGCCATTTTGCCAGTCTGGATCCATCTACTTTTTCACACCTTGCTTTCTTTCTTTTGATGTATCTTCAGATGGAAGATGGTATCTATTTATGAAGACATATAAGGCTTCATAATTTATTGGAAATTGTAATCATTTCAAATAATACAAAGAACAAAAAGATGACAATAAAACAAAACAAAAAGAATACTCATGCTTTATTCTCATTGAGTGAATGAAAAAAAACTTTCAGGTATTAAAATCTTGTGCAACTTACTTAATTCCCATTATAGTTCATTAATATTTTATATTAACATTCTTATGCTGATATATAAGGGAAAGATGAACGAAATTGAATGGGAAAGGTCGGCTTCTTTTTTCTCAGAGGATTAAAAAAAAATGAAGCCCAAATTACACATTTTTCTCAAGGATGTTTACTTTCACCCTTTTGTCTTGTTGCCAACCCTTGGGTATTTTCAGGATACTCTATAACTTACTTATGAAGATTTTTTACTATAATAACATAATTATTTCCCATCATGAGGTGCCTCGCTGTGTTTTCAGACCTCAGTGATGACAGTGGTGCTTTAACTAGAGGGCAATAAGGGAAAAGCTGTGCGTTGTATCACATGAAAGTTCTCCTGATCTTAAGTGAGAACAGAGATCATTTGGTTATTGCCTATGAACACGTCCCCATTTCATCTTCGATTGGCAAAAAGTTTCCAATTAAAACAGGCTCATTCTTCAGTAATTATCTTTTGGGGGGTAGCATGCTTTGAGAAATTTCACCTACAATATTTTAGAAATTCCACTGATACTAACTTAGAACAAAATAATGTTAATATGTACCTATGTCCCATCAGAGCAATAAATGCACACAGCATGACTTCAACAAGACCAAACAGAACAACCTACCTTCTTGTGAACAGGTATCACTTATTGACTGTTATATCAGTCAGGTCATAATCAAATTTAACTCACTGGATTCTGAGAGTTCAGAAATTCTCAGATCCTTCCTATTAAGAACTGTTTTCTCATACCATCCATTGGAACTAGAGTATAATTATACTTTTGTTGTGCCTCTAACTTGCAGAGATTTATCTTGGTTTAATATAGTTCAGAATCTTCTAGAAGAAAAAGTAAGTTGAAGTATCTCTATTAACTGCTAATGACAACAGATATATTGTGCCCTCGTATCAAGAAAAGGGATCAACTTTGAGGTGGCTAGCTTATCATGCACAATGTATGATTACAATTCTTTCATCCTAAATTAGTTTTAAGTCCTGTACATTCTATTAAGTAAAACTGGCCCCAAGGGTTGGGTAGAGGGGAGGACCAATGCAATGTTTGTATAGCAAAAAAAATCACTTTAGTACTAATATCTATTTGTGTGTGTGTGTGTGTGTGTATTTATTGCATAAATATGTATAAAATATATATACATATTTTTATTTTTTGAGACAGAGTCTCGGTTTGTCAGCCAGGCTGAAGTGCAGTGGCACAATCTCCATTCACTGTAACCTCTGCCTCCCAGGCTCAAGCATTTCTCCCACCTCAGCCTCCCAAGTAGCTAGGATTACAGGTGGGCACCACCAAACCTAGCTAATTATTTTGTAGTTTTAATAGAGACAGGGTTTCACCATGTTGCCCAGGTTGGTCTTGATCTTCTGGCCTCAAGTGACCCACCCATCTCAGCCTCCCAAAGTGATGAAATTACAGGCATAAGCCACCATGCCTGGCCAACATCCATGTATATTCATGAACCTATCCACATATCTCACAGTCATTCTTCATTTCATACATTCTAGAAATGATTCAATCTAGATTTAGATCCAGATTGCTGCAGACACATGATAAATATAATGAGTCCTCTCTTTTCCCTATAAAAGGACAAGTAGCTAAATGTAGAGGGGTGAGAGGAGTTTGCAGAAAGCAACACTTCTAAATACTCTCTCATCATCTTTCATTTTTTTCTAGCCTTTTTTGACTTTTCCACATAGAAATAGTATAAAAATATTTGACATTTTCTACCTATCACCAGGCATCCTTCAGAAAAGATGAATGGAAAATTTTAAAAACAAAACCTAACAAGAAAATGAGAAAAAAAAAGCCATAGACTGGGAGAAAATATCTGCAAAAGACAAATGTGATTTGGAAATATTATCTAAAATATACAAAGAACTATAAAAACACAACAAGAAAACAAACAGCCAGATTAAAAAATGGGCCAAAAACCTTAACAGACCCCTCACCAAAGAAGACAGGCAGATGGAAAATAAGTATATGAAAAGTTGCTCAATATCACATGTCAGGAAAATGCAAATTAAAATACCAGTAAGATACCATTACACACCTATTAGAATTGCCAAAATCTGGAATTCTGACAAGGCGAAATGCTGACAAGGATGCAGAATAACAAAGAACTTTATTTCATTGCTGGTGGGAATATAAAATGGCACAGCAACTTTGGGAGACAATTTAGTAGTTTCCTACAAAATCAAACATACACATAATATACTATCATACTTCTGGGTATTTTCCCAAATAAGTTTAAAATTTATGTTCACATAGATACCTGCAGAGATACTTATAGCAGCTTAATTTATAATTGCCAAAACTTGGAAGCAACCAAGATGAATTTCAGTAGGTGAATGAACAAACTGTGTTATGTCCAGGCAAAGGAATATTAGTCCCCCCAAAAACTGAGCTTTCCAGCCATGAGAAAAGCATGGGGAAAACTTAAATGTATATTACTAAGTGAAAGAAAGCAACCTGAAAAGGCTACATACTATATGATTCCAGCTATGTGACATTCTGGAAAATACAACAAGAGAAAACTATGCTGACAATAAAAAGATCAGGGGTTGGGCTAGATAATGGTTGAATATGTGAAGCACAGAGGATTTTTTAGGCAATGAAAATACTCTGTATGACACTATAATGGTGGATATATATATATATATATATATAATCATACATTTGTCCAAACCCATGGAATGTTCAACATCAAGAGTAAACCATGATGTAAACTACGGGCTTTAGGTAATTATGATGTGTTAAGGTAGGTTCATCCACTGGAACAGATGTACCACTGTGGTGGGAGATATTCATCGGCGGGGAAGGCTACACATGCGTGGGGGCAAGGTATATATGGGAAATCACTGTATCTTCCTCTTAATTTTGCTGTGACACTAAAATCACTCTAAAAAATAAAGTCTTTTAAAAATATCTCTTTAAATAAACAAAAAATAAAGACTTTTAAAAATATCTTTAAACAAAACAAAACAAAATCTCTTTAAATAAAACAAAACCAACAAAATCTAGATGCCCTAAGCCCTTCATCTGGGCATTAATGCTTATATCTCAAAAAAAAGTGTGAATTATTACAAACTGAAAAATGGAGCAAATATCTAGATTTTTCTTCTATTTGGCATCAAATCTCTGGAAATGCAGACACATATCTGGAAAACTTTATTTCCCATTAATCTACCTGGCTGGAAACAGTAACATTAGATTTTAAGTGTAATTTTTAAACAAATCCTATTACTACAGTACAGCTTCTATATTTAGATGTCAGCACACCAAAAAGCATAATATTCCATGATGATGCTAACTAATGTGTACAGACACATAATTCTTTGGATGTATTATATACCAGATAATGGGAACTGAAGTGAGCATGTAGGGTCTACTGGACAAGGTTAGATGACACAATATTATGGGCAAAAAGTCAAATATCTTACATCTGTATAAGGTTCTGTGGCAAAATGAGTTTAACTGACATATTCTTAAAATTAAACAGGTTTTCAATTATGGGATTTCTCAGAATTGTTAATAAGTAAAAGGCTGCTTTTACTTC